CTATCAGTGGAATAAGAAGAGTGTATTGAGGAATATCAGACTGCAAGGAAAATATTAACTTACAAAAAGGCCTTGTCATTAATGTATCTTAACTGAGAAGAGGAAACGCCAGGATATAATTTCAAGTTACAAACCTAAGTCATTGGTAGTGATTTTGGTGGAACTGTTACAATGGGTATACTGCTTGTATTGTGGTGAAATGTAGCTAGAGGCACAGCAAGCTTTATAAAGGATATCATCAAAAGAGGTAGATAAGAACTAATAATGTTCTATTAGTAGCTGTAATTACTTATATGGATCAGAGAGAACTACAGTAAGGTATAATACATGGAGCAGCGATAAGAACAATAATGTGAATTATATTGAGAAATGTGAGAATGTGCAGGCACGGGTGTCCGCAGCATAGGGCAAAAAAGTCACCCCATAGGTATTGTCCATCAATTGTTCATGTGAGGTATAATGCCTATATATATAACAGCTTTGCCCAATATGGAAAAATGTTATGGATGTCTCTGTATGCAGAGTTGGTTAAATGATTGGGGAGAAAGGTACCATTAGTGTATAAGATGCTAGTTAGCAGGTTCATCTTTAGTGAGTGGAGTTGGTAAGCTAGTTAGTGAGTTGTTTAGCTAGTCAGTAAAGTGAATTGAGTTGATTAGCTATTTGGTGAGTGGAGTATGTGAAGTTGGCTAGCTAGTGAGTGGAGTTGGTTAGCTAGCTAGTGAGTGGAGTATGTGGAGTTTGCTAGCTAGCTAGTGAGTGGAGTAAGTTGAGTTGGTTAGCTAGTGGGTGTAGTGAGTGGAGTTTCTTAGCTTGTTAGTAAGTGGAGTATGTGGAGTTGGCTAGCTAGTGAGTGGAGTTGGATGGCTAGCTAGTGAGTGGAATATGTGGAGTTCACTGGCTAGTTAGTGAGTGGAGTAAGTGGAGTTAGTTAGCAAGTGAGTTGGGTTAATGGAGTTAGCTAGCTAGTTAGTGACTGGAGTAAGTGAAGTTGATTAGCTAGTGTGTGGAGTGAGTAGAGTTGGTTAGTCAGTTAGTGAGTGGAGTTGGTTAGCTAGTTAGTGAGAGGAGTAGCTTAACGAGTGAGTGGAGTTGGTTAGCTAGCTAGTGAGTGGCGTATGTGGAGTTCGCTGGCTAGCTAGCTAGTGAGTGGAGTAAGTTTAGTTGGTTAGCAAGTGGGTGTAGTGAGGGGAGTTTGTTAGCTTGTTAGTAAGTGGAGCATGTGAGTTCACTAGCTAGTGAGTGGCATTGGATAGCTAGCGAGTGAGTGGAATATGTGGAGTTCACTAGCTGGTTAGTTAGTGTAATAAGTAGAGTTGGTTAGCAAGTGAGTGGAGGGAGAGGACATAGTAGCTAGTTAGGTGGTGAAGTAAGTTGAGTTAGTTAGTAAGTGAGTTGAGTTAATAGAGTTGGCTAGCTAGTTAGTGACTGGAGTAAGTGAAGTTGGTTAGAAAGTGTGTGGAGTGAGTAGAGTTGGTTAGTCAGTTAGTGAGTGGAGTTGGCTAGTTAGTTAGTGAGAGGAGTAGCTTAACTAGTGAGTGGAGTGAGTGGAGTGGAGTTGGTTAGCTAGTGAGGGGAGTATATGGAGTTGGCTAGAAAGGTACCATTAGTGTATAAGATGCTAGCTAGCAGGTTCATCATTAGTGAGTGGAGTTGGTAAGCTAGTTAGTGAGTTGGTTAGCTAGTCAGTAAAGTGAATGGAGGTGGATAGCTAGTTAGTGAATGGAGTATGTGAGGTTGGCTAGCTATTGAGTGGAGTTGGTTAGCTAGCGAGTGAGTGGAGCATGTGAAGTTGGCTAGCTAGTGAGTGGAATTGGTTAGCTAGCTAGTGAGTGGAGTATGTGGAGTTTGCTAGCTAGCTAGCTAGTGAGTGGAGTAAGTTGAGTTGGTTAGCTAGTGGGTTTAATGAGTGGAGTTTGTTAGCTTGTTAGTAAGTGGAGTATGTGGAGTTGGCTAGTGAGTTGGGTTAATGGAGTTAGATAGCTAGTTAGTGACTGGAGTAAGTGAAGTTGGTTAGCTAGTGTGTGGAGTAAGTTGAGTTGGTTAGCTAGTGGGTTTAATGAGTGGAGCTGGTTAGCTAGTTAGTGAGAGGAGTAGCTTAACTAGTGAGTGGAGTGAGTGGAGTTGATTAGCTAGTTAGTGAGAGGAGTAGCTTAATGAGTGAGTGGAGTATGTGAAGTTCGCTGGCTAGCTAGCTAGTGAGTGGAGCAAGTTTAGTTGGTTAGCGAGTGGGTGTAGTGGAGTTCTTTAGCTTGTTAGTAAGTGGAGTATGTGAGTTGACTAGCTAGCTAGTGAGTGAACTATGTGGAGTTTACTAGCTATTTAGTTAGTAGATTAAGTAGAGTTGTTTAGCAAGTGAGTGGAGTGAGAGGACTTAGCTAGCTAGTTAGGTAGTGGAGTAAGTGGAGTTGAGTTAATGGAGTTGGCTAGCTAGTTAGTGAATGGAGTAAGTGAAGTTGGTTAGCTAGTGTGTGGAGTGAGTAGAGTTGGTTAGTCAGTTAGTGAGAGGAGTAGCTTAACTAGTGAGTGGAGTGAGTGGAGTTGGTTAGCTAGTGAGTGGAGTATATGGAGTTGGCTAGCTAGCAATAGGTAGCATTCACTAGCTAGTTAGTGAGTGGGGTAAGTTGAGTAGGTTTGCTAATAAGTGGAGTTAAGGGAATTGGCTAGCTAGTTGGTGAGTGGAGTTGGGTGGCTAATGAGTGTAGAGAGTGGAGCTGGTAAGCTAGTTAGTGAGTGCTGTAAGTGGAGTTGTTTAGCTAGTGAGTGGAGTTGGTTAGCTAGTTAGTGAGTGGAATATGTGGAGTTGGTTAGCTAGTTAGTGAGTGGAATATGTGGAGTTGGTTAGCAAGTTAGTGAGTGGAATATGTGGAGTTGGTTAGCTAGTTAGTGAGTGGAATATGTGGAGTTGGTTAGCTAGTTAGTGAGTGGAGTAAGTGGAGTAGGTTAGCTAGTTAGTGTATGAAGTGAGTGGAGTTGGTTAGCAAGTATGTGGAGTGAATGGAGTTGGCTAGCTAGTTAGTGAATGCTGTAAGTTGAGTTGTTTAGCTAGTGAGTGGAGTTGGTTAGCTAGTTAGTGAGTGAGTGGAATATGTGGAGTTGGTTAGCTAGTTAGTGAGTGGAATATGGAGTGAATGGAGTTGGCTAGCTAGTTAGTGAGTGGAGCTGGTAAGCTAGTTAGTGAGTGCTGTAAGTGGAGTTGTTTAGCTAGTGAGTGGAGTTGGTTAGCTAGTTAGTGAGTGAGTGGAATATGTGGAGTTTGTTAGCTAGTTAGTGAGTGGATTAAGTGGAGTAGGTTAGCTAATGAGTGGAGTGATGAGAGTTGGCTAGCTAGTTAGTGGAGTTGGTTAGCAAGTATGTGGAGTGAATGGAGTTGGCTAGCTAGTTAGTGAGTGGAGCTGGTAAGCTAGTTAGTGAGTGCTGTAAGTGGAGTTGTTTAGCTAGTGAGTGGAGTTGATTAGCTAGTTAGTGAGTGAGTGGAATATGTGGAGTTGGTTAGCAAGTTAGTGAGTGGAGTAAGTGGAGTAGGTTAGCTAATTAGTGGAGTGATGGGAGTTGGCTAGCTAGTTAGTGTATGAAGTGAGTGGAGTTGGTTAGCAAGTATGTGGAGTGAATGGAGTTGGCTAGCTAGTTAGTGAGTGCTGTAAGTGGAGTTGGTCAGCTAGTGAGTGGAGTTGGTTCCTTAGTTAGTGAGTCGAATATGTGGAGTTTGCTAACTAGTTAGTGAATGAAGTAAGTGGAGTAGGTTAGCTAATGAGTGGAGTGATGAGAGTTGGCTAGCTAGTTAGTGTATGAAGTGAGTGGAGTTGGATAGCAAGTATGTGGAGTGAATGGAGTTGGCTAGCTAGTTAGTGAGTGGAGCTGGTAAGCTAGTTAGTGAGTGATGTAAGTGGAGTTGGTCAGCTAGTGAGTGGAGTTGGTTCCTTAGTTAGTGAGTGGAATATGTGGAGTTGGCTAACTAGTTAGTGAATGGAGTAAGTGGAGTAGGTTAGCTAATGAGTGGAGTGAGGGTAGTTGACTAGCTAGTTAGTGTATGAAGTGAGTGGAGTTGTTTAGATGGCTATACATGACAAAAAAAGCAGTGTGTGGAGCTGTAGCAAGAGATGCTCTGCATAGCATAGTTAGACAGAAGACCTAGGACTGCAGTAATACAGGTGCTCTACATGCAGATATATATGATACAATTATATGATTAAGAGATCTCCTCAATAGAGTGGAGTAAGTGGAGTTGGTTAACTAGTTAGTGAGTGGAGTGAGGGGAGCTGGTGAGCTGGTTAATGAGTGGAGCAAGTGGATTTGGTTATTTACAGAGTGAAGTGAGAGGACCTGGCTAGCTATTTAGTGAATGGAGTATGTTGAGTTGGTTAGCTAGTGGGTGGAGTAATGGAGTTGGCTAGCTAGTTAGTGACTTGAGTAAGTGAAGTTGGTTATCTAGTGTGTGGAGTGAGTGGCGTTGGTTAGTCAGTTGGTTAGAACAGATAGCTAGCTAGTTAGTGAGTGGAATAGATTAACTAGTGAGTGGAGTAAGTGGAGTTGGATAGCTAGTTAATAAGAGGATTTATGTGGAGCTGGCTAGCTAGTTAGTGGAATATGTAGAGTTCACTATCTCATTAGTGAGTGGAGTAATTGGATTAGATTTGTTAAAGAGTGGAGTGAGGGGAGTTGGATAGCTGGTTAGTGAGAGGAGTAGTTTAGCTAATGAGTGGAGTGAGGGGAGTTGGCAGCTAGTTTGTGTATGGAGTTGTTTAGCTGAATATATATGACTGTGGAATGCTGTGGAAGACAGCAGTATAGTAATGGGACAGAAGTAGAGAGTCTGGAAGAGAGCTGAACGGAGATACCGCCAACAAATGGGGGAGATAGCATGGAAGACAGATGAGAAAAGCAGTGGACGGAATGAGGCAATAGAAAGGAGGGGTTAGGAGAGATGTTGAGAGAACAGTGGAAGAAAAAGTCATAGCTGTGGAAGATGGAGCACAGCAATGGGAAAAAAGGGAAGGAGCATGGAAGAGAGTTGTGGAAAGATATCAACTAAGCAGAAAGCAGTTCATCATTGGGAAGATCAGTGGAAAAAAGTAAGCATGAGCATACAGCAGACATTGGGGAGCAATGGTAATATAGAGGAGAGCATGGAAGGGAGAAGGAGCAATGGAAAGAGATGGAGAACTCAAAGTAGATCATTTCTAGTGGAAAGGAATAAGAGAGCGTGGAAGAGAGATGGCGAGAGGTAGAGAGCACAGTGGAGGGAGGGAGCATGAGACCTGAGGGGAATGGATAGGAGACAGAAAACTAAGGGTGAGAGGTCAAGAGATTAAGAGGGCTGAACATAAGAGGTCAGAATATTGACAGCAAAAGTCCAGAAGTTAGAGAGTAAGAGGTCTGAGAACAAGAAGTCAGGAACTCTGGTAAATGTAAAACATAGTTATGTAGCCAAAACATTTTTGTGGTACATACAAAATCAGAAAACGTATTGTATACTTAGGCAAAAAAACTCATCTGAGAGGGGTGAGCAACAAATGGTAGGAAGCTGGACAAGAAAGCTAAAGTTAGCAATACTGGAGACTGGTACTCAGTATAAGAAATAACAGAGCGAGTGTGGGTCTCCTAAATAGTGTGAACCTAGATGGGTTTGTATATAGGGACAAAGAGACAGGATATCTCTATATAATCACGCATAGCTACTTGGTAGGATGGTGTATTCATTTGTAGCTGACACAAACAAGAGTATGTAGTCACCCAGCTGCAGAAAATGAGGGGAAAGGAATTAAACATTGATTGAAACAATTGAATGATGTTAATAAATGCAGTCTATTTAAGACTTTGCCTCAGAACTACTCTTACATATACCCATAAAATCATAGGAGTTAAGAGAGCTGTAAATTGCAGTGACACGAATGGGATTAGGACTTTTGTGGATTTTTTTATTTTAATTTTTTTTAAAGTATGCATATATGTGTTTGTGTAGAGAGAGAGAGAGAGAGAGAGAGATGACATAGTCAGCCAGTTATTTTACCTAGCAGATCATGTTTTCAAACTACGTAATTCCCAGTTTAGTCTCCCTGAAGTCTCAATGTCTGGATTATTAACTAAATTCAGAATTTTAGACAATTAAATTTGAGTGGCAAACCTAAGGCTCAAATGGTGGAAAATTCTGAGTTTAAAAAATAACTTTGCGTGAATTAAATGAAATCACAACATAATGTGAAAATAGGGTTCCTTGTTCATAATGTGGCACCAGGACACACAAGAATATGCCTGCCCCAGACTGCCTAAGATTGACAACAATGACACTTCCCGGCTGCTTGTATATGGCTGTTTCTAGCGTTCTCTTCTTACTGATATGTAAGGCAAACACAGTATTTAATGAAACACTGTATCATAATTTCCTCAGCAGCTCCAGTGGCGCAAACTGCAAGGGAACCTCAACATGTTTGTGTTTGTGTGCATGTGCGTGCATATGTGTTGCAATCCATAGCAGCTTGAATAGAAGGTTAATGCAATTTCTGGGCACAATGAGAAATATGCATCCAGGAGTGTTATACTGAGGGACAAAGCTCTGTATACTATGTTAATGAATCCTCTTACCTTTACTAACGAACGTGGCAGAAAGAGGTAAAATGTAATTAGCTTAATATCAAAATATATAACAATAAGGATTTGAGGAAAAATTAAGGTAGAGGAGATATGAAGATAAAGATTTAGAGTTTTCAACAATAGCAATATGCATGACAATATTGATATAAAAGGGATTTAACAGATATTAAACTAGATTGTGTATATGTAAATTAAGGAGACAGAAGAGCTTTGAGGAAAATAAAATGACACGCAGGATGTGTGTTCAGTAGTACTGAGATATTGAAGAATATTTAAATAAAGTTTGCAGTAAAATGCTGTGCATAAATACCTTGGGGAAAATAGAAGGGAGTATGTAGACAAGTACATTAAAGGGACACTATAGCCATCAAGACAATCCTGACCACTTATTGAAGTGGTCTGGGTGCATTGTCCCTGTCCCAGTTAGTCCTGCAATGTAAATCATTGCGGTTTTTGAGAAACTACAATTATTAGCTTGCAGAACAAAGAGTGACTCTAGTCGCTGTCAATCAGGCAGCCACTAGAAGCACTTACTGGTGGCTAAACGTCTTTACGTTGCCTAACTGATGCTGGATGTCCTCACGCTCTGCATGAGCACATCCAGCGTCAGTAAAATCCACATAGGAAAGCTTTGAAGCAATGCTTTCAAATGGGGAGGACCTAATTTACTTGCGGCGCACCCCAAGCTTGCGCATTAGACCCCACCCTGTTGGATGATGTCAGAGGAGGTGGAGCACTGACACAGCATTGAGGGACATCGGCGCTGGAATCGGATAAGTGACTAAGGCTTTTTTTTAACCCTTTTTAAGCCAGATGCGCAAAGTAGGGGGGGATCAGAGGGCTCTACAGTGTAAGAAATACAACTTTGTATTGCTAACACTATAGAATCTTTTTAAAGCAAGGAATATAATGTCACTGCAGGTGGAGTAAGGGCTACATAGGAATCAAAATATGGTTTTAAATAGAAGCTGTAGGAGGATATCTAGAGCTATGGGAGCTGTAATAGAATGTTAAATAAAAGGAGAAAATGTGGCAGTAGGGAGGTAGAGCAATTCTATTATTTATAAAGAGGACTTTGAACTATACATGTATGAGTTGGAGAGCTGAAACAAATATTTTTAAAGCACATGGATTGTCATGAAGTAATTTAAGGAGAGAGGACAATAAATAGAAATGATAGGTTAAAATAACTCCATATTTTTAATTTATTTTAATTTTTAAATTAAAAATAATTATTTTTGAAAATGAAATTAAAAGTAGTCTGACCCCTCCGTCAACTAGTCTGAACTTTGACTCATCATATATGAACATTAAAACTATACTTTAAAATAACTGCAGCCATCTGAACTTGCCTTTAGATAGATAAGTGAAAGTAATGCTTTCTTATTTTCTCACAGGCACACAGGTATGAAGCAATGCTTAGGTTGCAGTCAGTTATGTTGGGTGGTTGTGTAATAATTATTAGTTTTAGTTTCTTATGGTTTGCTTTTGTTTAAAAAAAATTTTTTATGAGTTTGCTCCATGAACCCATCCTTCATGCCACATTCACCCAACTTGACATGTTTCTACTTCACTCTGAGACTACTGCTGTACATGCTGTGATATCATAATGTATTGGGATTTGTAGTTCAGCAGTTAGTTTTTAGTAACATAATGCAGACATTTGAATTCAAACTCTCAGAAACCTTAGCTGTCCCTATAATGTTCAGTAGTTCTATTTAAAATCAAGTGCGCACCATGATTGGTTCTTACTGAGTCAGTCACTTCCTGATTTGGTGGGAGCTCACTGAAGATCCAGCACAGGCTAGGACAATGCAAGACCTTCAACTGTAGTAACTAGATTTTCCACACTATGAAATAGTGGCTAAAAACCAATTTGGTTCAGCTAGATGTGAATTTGAATCTAAGTTGCTCTTTAGTACTGGTTCTGTCCTGAAGCACATAATCCTTCCTTGATGTGAACAAGACAACTGCAGACAAACCTGTATCAAGCTTATCTGAATAGACAATTACTGTACAAATAAAAGTTACAACCAGAATTAGCAATGCTCAATGCCTTGCTCTTGGCACTTTTCTGAGGATTCTTTAATATAACATTACATTAATATTATATTAATATTAATTACATGATCCTTTTTCTTATTACTGCTGTTCATGTTGTTACTAGGTTAAATCATTTATAACTCCTACATAAACAATTTCTTTCTCCTGTGATATTCATGAGATTGTTTATTGTTAGGTCATCCTATCCAATAAACCCTGTGTCTAACTTTGTCAATTTTCTTGTGCAGAGACAAAAATTGTTCCCCATGTCTACCCATTGGTCCAATATGGAATCGGAGAGAGCCCCTCAGTTACCTTTGGCTGCTTGGTAGATAAGTATTTTCCAGATCCTGCTACTATATCATGGAGTACAACTTCTGGGGGGACACCTACTGACGTGAAGACATTCCCTTCAGCTCAGATTGCAGACCCCATCAGTTATCATCGTAGCAGTCAAGTGACTGTCAGCAAAAACGACTGGGAGAGCAACACTTACCTGTGCACAGTTAGTCATAACAGCAGCAACTATCAGACAGCCATTCCAAAGAGTAACAGTAAGTCACTAATTTGTTTACTTTACACAACAGGATATATGTTTACTGCTTCTTGTGTTTAACCCCCTAAGGACACATGACATGTGTGACATGTCATGATTCCCTTTTATTCCAGAAGTTTGGTCCTTAAGGGGTTACATATGCTTTTCTAATGTGACGTGTCACATTACAAAATATAGTCCATCAAAGAGTCAAAAAGTTACAGTAAAATTTTCTGAGAAGTTGTTTAGGTATTACAAAGGCTAGCATGATGTGCCTACATTGTGTACTTTTCAATCAGGAACAAACTGAAGGCTTGAAGGAACACTATAGCTTGCTGTAGTGGTTATGGTGCCAAGAATACCCTGGCACTTCCCTAATGTAACTTGTCAAATTGCCTTACCTGGGATCTGTTACAGCCTACAGAGAACTGGAAATAGCTGATTAGGAGATACCATTAGCTATCATTAGCTCTCCCTGAAATGTTTGGTTTAGTTTGGAAAAAGAGCTTCTAGTTTACTGTAGTCAGTAGGGGTGGTGGAGAGTGCCAACTGTCAGCCAGATAAGAAATCAAACCATTTTAAAATGGTTTGACTACTTAAATTGGGAAAGGGCTACAGCATTCTGTAGTGGTTATAGTGCTTGAGTGTTGATTTAAGCATATTTAATTCATATTTATCCTAGAGAGAGAAAAACAAGCTTCCTTTTTTTTAGTCCTTCGGTCTTCATATACACAGATCTTCCTGATCTGTTGGAATTTTACTTAAAGGTTATCAAAGGTTGAGCAAAGCTACTTAACTCAGGATGTTTATAAAATATGTGTTCTGTGATTATTATTATACAAAAGGTGTAAAAGATATACATCACTGTTTTGGGTTGTTATTTTTGTTTTGCTTTTTTAGGAAACTTCGATAAGTTACAATATTCTATAGTGACAGATAATTATGCACTAAAGTACTGTATGATAAACTATGAATTACTCCACTTTACTGTATATTAATTGCCTGTCTTGTCATCCCACTAATCCCACAGGTTGTCATGATCCATTAAGCGCAAAGCTTCTTCAAGGTTCCTGTCCCGAAAACAGTGCATCGCATACTGTAGAATTGGTTTGCCAGATATCCAATGTCATTTCCCAGAATTATCAAGTCAAATGGTTTATCAATGGTAAAGAAGAAACTCTTGAAGATAAAGTTACTCAAGTTGGGACATCCAGCTACACCAGAACAGTCAATGTCAAACAGGCGGAATGGAACAGTGGTGTCTCATTTATGTGTCAAGTACATGATTCTGGGAACGTAGCTAATGACACTATAAGAAAATGTTCAGGTATGAGATCTATTTCACCTCTACATGATATGCATTGTCTTTTATTTATATGTTTCATATCGTTGTTGCATCCTGCATTAAAAATATAAACAGACATGTAACTCTACTTACACTGCATTCTCACAAATTAAGTTGCAAACCAGATCATAAGCTATATTTTTCTCATTCTAGACGCCCTAAATTGTTTTGGAATCAATGTGTTCATTATGCGTCCAACTGTTGAGGATCTTTTTGTCCATAAAATTGCTCGTATTACCTGTCTGGCATCCAATATTCCAAGTAATACTGGCTATCAGTTTAGATGGTTCCAGGGTGAAGAACAAAGCTCAATGTATTCTACAGAAGACGCAATCCTAAACCAGAATGGAACCTATAGTGTGTCCAGTGTTCTCACGACATCCACCGACGCTTGGGACTCTAAAACGAAATATACCTGCACATTCACCGACAATATGCTACGGTCTCCAGTCATCAAAACCATATCCAAGGATTTAGGTGAGTTTATGGTCTGGAATGCTTAATGTGATGCAAGTACTGTACATTACACTAAATAGAACCCCAAATCAGTGCCCTGCAACCTGAACATGGTCAAGTGCCATTGAAATCTGTGTTTAAAAACAACTGAGCAATCCATAAATTCTGGATCACTCATGGTCCTTAACCCCTTAAGGACACATGACATGTGTGACATGTCATGATTCCCTTTTATTCCAGAAGTTTGGTCCTTCAGGGGTTAATTACATAGCATAAAAGCATTGGTTGCAGAAATACCAATTTCTTTATAAATCAATACTGATACTGGCATACAGGCTCTACGGGCATCCAACCATTTACTGGCTTGACTACAGTAATTCTTGATGCAAGCAAAATATTAAATATTGTTATTCCAGTAGGGTAAGAATACATACATGTACTTACTTCTGGGCATTAGATATGATCTGCTTTCAAACATATGTTTGATGAAAATTAAAAAAAACATTTTCTTTTCTTTCTAAAGGTCATACTATCAACAAATATTTATGGTGATAAAAATACAATCTTTATGAATCCAATTCCAAAGAATGAACTTGTGTCATTATCTCACAGTTTGATGAAAATGCCACAAGAGAGTTGACTTTAAATATGTTTGTAGATATATATTGTATAGAGTTATCATATCCCTATGTTAGAATTGAATTTCTTAAATAAACTTGCAAAACTTTGAAGAGCCACGCTAAGCACCAAAATTTCTACATCACTACAGCTTACACTTCGTAATGTTACTTTTTTAAAGGGGTCTTAAATATATATATGGACAAATAGGACAGTTCATTTTCTTTTAACATAGTGATTGTTTTTTTATCTCCCTATATACATACATAAACTATCCCCCCCAAAAGAAACCTGAAGACAACTGCCCTCTAGTGGTTAAAGTCTTCAGAAAATTCTGTAAACTCTGTCTGAAAGTAGGAGTACCTAGGCCCCAGGACACTGGCAGAGATTTATCAAAGCGTTGTGTTTTGAAAAATGGTGCAAAGCACTCAAGGTGTGTCAGTCCCCATGAAAAAAAATTGAACCAGCAAAAGCATTCCATTGGTGACTGCACATTCATTGGTAAAGCACATATATGTTTTCACCTCTCTATAAAAGCAATTTTGATGTTAATTGACAAATTTATATAGCCAGACACTTTTGTGGTAAAAAATAATAATAATAATAATAATAATTAATTAATTTAGCTTGCAGAATTTGGTTGTTTTATTAATGGTTTCAATTTCATAACATTAAATTATGGAATGATTAGGACAAGCTATTTGGGCCCATATAATCAAAATGTTCCAATTTTTGATACACAGAAACCAAGTTGTTCCCACCAAGTGTTGCTGTCTTGCCACCTACACCAGAGGAGATGAGCTTAAAAGAACGTGTCACTTTCACATGTGTGGTCCATGGTTTCTATCCAATGGATATTTACATGGGATGGAGCAAAGACGATATTGAGACTCCCAAAGAATTGTATGTCACCAGTGATCCAAAGGTTGATAATAACCAGAGATACTTCGCTGTCAGCAAGATGACTGTGCCATTTACTGATTGGGATGATGATAAGCCATACACCTGTGTGGTTGGTCACGAAGCTCTCCCACTGTATTTTACACAAAGAACCATTGACAAAACCACCGGTAAACCAACCAATGTCCATGTGAATGTCTACATGTCTGATTCCCAACTCTCTTGGCCCTAAGAATCTCTGTCAAACAACCTTCTACTGCCCCCTGCCTGCTGACGACGTTTTGTTTCAGTCCTTTGCCACAATGAATTCACTTATTTCTTGTATGAAAATTGTAAGCAAAACTTACAACAGACCAAATAGCATTTACTAAAAAAAATAAAATACAATATCACATTTCTTTGTGATGTTCATTGTCCTTTTCCTTCTCTAATTGCTGCTGAATTTTTCTGCTTCCTATCCCTTCCATTGTTGTGTTTTGTGATCTTGTGATGTTGGTGTGTACAAATTATACATTCTGCAATAAATTCTGGTAAGAAAATTGCTGAAGAATATATTTGTTGTAGATCCTAATGAATGTTAAGTGTTTCAAGACAAGATTTCAGTAACCAGATTAAAATTTCTGCCATTCAATACAGTTATATAGTTTAGGTTCTGTGCGATGCTGAAAGCATTTCCTCTTGGTTTGTAGAAAATCACCTGGAAACAAATCATTTTAAATATAAAAGAGAGTCAGTAGGTTATCCGTATGTCATTGTCCTAAATTCTATTAAAGGGACACTCCAATTTAAAGGAATAAATGAACAATGTACATGTTTATATCTTTTCATGTGCGAATCCCAACTTAAACCAGTGGAAGCTACTCAAACATGTATTATAGAAACATAGAAACATAGAATGTGACGGCAGATAAGAACCATTCGGTCCATCTAGTCTGCCCAATTTTCTAAAAACTTTCATTAGTCCCTAGCCTTATCTTATAGTTAGGATAGCCTTATGCCTATCCCATGCATGCTTAAACTCCTTTACTGTGTTAACCTCTACCACTTCAGCTGGAAGGCTATTCCATGCATCCACTACCCTCTCAGTAAAGTAATAGTAGCTGCTTATATCTCACCATCAAAAATAATTAACAGATTGTGCAACTATACTGAAGTCACCATTCTTCTCTTGAATAATTTTCAAGGGATATGACGTATGAGTGGTTCCCATTTACTTCAGTGGAAGAATGTTGCCCATGCACATGCCTGTCTATTTGGTTTTATTTTTAATGCATCAGAATATACAGGTCTCCAGTTTAATTCAGATGACTAGAATGCCCCTTTAATATCTGCAAATTACATTTTCTAAATGATCTGTCTAACAATTTTCTATATTTAAATACAGATTCAAACATAACACTAATATGAGTATATATACTTGTATGGGATAAACTCACAACATGGTAAAATTACAACTGACAACTAAATAGCAAAATGTAAGCCAAAACAACAAACAAAATGCTAACTTGCCATATACAGTTAAGTGGCTTTTAGCAGCAAATCACTGCTGTTTACTGTTTAATTCATAAACCTTTATAGTTTTATTATGATGAGGCCATTAAATCCATCCATATATTATTAGCCATGTTATTAGATTTTAGTATTTCCCTAAATTATAATGTTCAGTGTTGCATGTCAGTGCATAAATTTAAAGTTTCGAATACACCCTTTCCCCTGGATTTTTTCTTACAGATAAAAGAGATTCATAAAACCTTTTTATATATATCTTCTTACAAAACAAGCTTAAACACAATTATTTTATTACCTTTCACTAAAGAAACAATGACTACCCAAGCACAGAAAATTAATAGGTAGAATTCACTTATAGGCCACCTATAGGCACTAAATTCTGAGGTCCCCTCAATTCCCCAAAAAAATCCAGTTTTCTGAGCTTAATCCATGATTTGGGGGATGCCCAGAAGAAATTGTACTTTTAGAAGTCATAGCAGGTGGTCCTAGTAGACAGACACCTGTACGCACTTTCCAACACTGGCTGCTGGCAAATTTGGTCCTTGTAATGTTTCTTCCCCTTGTTTGACACTTCTCTAACTCATCAAAACGTAGTATGTATACGTCATTTTTTTTAATGAACAGGTCAAATTTTATCTGATTTTAAAATCTGGAAAGACAGATTTTGACCAAAGATAATTGCACTTCAACCCAACCCAGAGTTGATAAAGCAAACTTTGCTGACTACATATATTAATTTCTCATTTATAAATAGTATTGAAACCCCAAACAAAGCCTTTATTATCTAGATCAGTAATTCCCAAACCAGTCCTCAAGTACCCCTAACAGTCCAGGATTTAGGTATTACCCAGTTGTGTCTATGGTGATTTTAGGGGGGGGGGGAAACTTTAACCCCTTAAAGGACCACTATAGTGCCAGGAAAACATACTCGTTTTCCTGGCACTATAGTGCCCTGAGGATGCCCCCACCCTCAGGGTCCCCCTCCCGCCCGGCTCTGGAAGGCGGAAAGGGGTTAAAACTTACCTTTTTCCAGCGCTGGGCGGGGAGCTCTCCTCCTCCGATCCTCCTCCTCTCCTCCCCGTCGGCTGAATGCGCACGCGCAGCAAAAGCTGCACGTGCATTCAGCCGGTCGCATAGGAAAGCATTCTCAATGCTGTCCTATGGACGCTGGCGTGCTCTCACTGTGAAAATCACAGTGAGAAGCACGCAAGCGCCTCTAGCGGCTGTCAATGAGACAGCCGCAAGAGGGAATGGGGGAAGGCTTAACCCATTGATAAACATAGCAGTTTCTCTGAAACTGCTATGTTTATAAAAGAATGGGTTAACCCTAGCTGGACCAGGCACCCAGACCACTTCATTAAGCTGAAGTGGTCTGGGTGCCTAGAGTGGTCCTTTAAGGACTAAACTTCTGGAATAAAAGGGAATCATGACATGTCACACATGTCATGTGTCCTTAAGGGGTTAAACACAACACGGTAATCCCTAAATCCTGGACTGGTAAGGGGTACTTGAGGAATGAGTTGGGAACCCTTGCTCTAGATTAAATGTCACATACTAACATATTAATAAATAGGTATTGCATCTCATTCAATATAAGCTTACTGCCTATAAAGTTATAGTTGTATAATAAAAAAAATCAAGTATATGGAAGAAAGGTAGCAATAATGTATTTCAGGTAACATTCAGACAATCCAGTGCAGTAATTAGGAAAAACATAGGAAAATAACATACTTAATCATTGCACCTTTTAACTGTGCGATATTAATTTGATCATTTTTAGTGCCCTTTCATTCTGAATTTCATCATTCTTTTTAAATTTGACTCATTAAAAATATGGCTATTCCATCACCAAGCTTTACTGGATATCAAGCTAACTGAGCAAACACAGAGTAGGTAGTAATGTTCGTGGGCTGAGGTCCAGCAGATGAGATCATTAGATCTTCTTAGAAGATGATTATTATTTACTTCTATCTCCGGTGCCAACCAAGTGTCTGGCATTTTAGATAGTAGCACAGTATGGCCAGACATCATCTACTGCAGCTCATGGGTAGTATGTTAGCGGCATCATCTGAAACTCTCCCTAATTCTCCTAACCATAATTGCACTCATTGCAATTCTCCTACTCCTATTTCTGGAATCCTGTAACTTGAAAATGTGTTGTTGTTGTTGTTGTTGTTGTTGCTGTTGTTGTTGCTGTTGCTGTTGTTGCTGTTGTTGTTGTTCATTGAATTGCCCAGGCCTATTTTATCAAGTCTGATCCTGCTTTCCTTCTTGGAATAGTGGAATAGAGACCACCATTGTAATTGCCCTTGTGCACCCACAGCCAAGAACAATAACTGCATCACCACAGTTGTTTTCACCTTTGTGAAAAATCAATAATGCATATTTCAGATATAGTTTGACAAAGACAGAGCGATCAAATCATTGATCACATGTTATCCCCAAGAATTGCATTAATTTATTAACATTAGTAGTAAAGTTTTAGATGACCACATCTCTGTCTCTGCTGGTGTAACCGGGTAAAATAAATAAAAAGAAATATAAGAATTGTGGCACATTTCTAAACATTTTTAAACAACTCATAAAAGGCACTTTCACCCTCCACTTAATTGACAAATGGATGGACAGTAAAGTGACATTTATTCAATAAGTGACATTTATTGAAAACAAGTGCATCCTGTATGAAATATCATGCTCTTACAGTCCACTAATATGGCATGCATGAGGTATGGCAGAGTACTTGAACTTCGCTTACATTTCATAATGAAAATATAACTCGTAATAAAATAAAAATAAATTTAAAAGATCTATACATGGCTCTCAGCTACACCAACATACTAGTATTTTCATAACATGTGAATGTAAATTTAAAAAAATAAGTTAACTTTTTTAATTCTGTCTAAAGTATTTTGATGAATTTATTCATAATTCTCATCAGCCTATCGTAAATTAAAATACATAAAACATATCTTTAAAGTCACACCCCAAATCAGCATGAAATTACCCAAAAAACCTTAAAGTTGTTGTTCTACTTAATGTGCAAATAAGACACGTCAGTATAGCAACTATCAGGTTTCATTACAGCTACTCATTAGCAGGTGCACTTGACGTAATTCAGAAATTAGGTGCGACTTGTTTCTAAGAGGTTTTCAGTTTTGTATAGGGAACTGAAAATCAAAGATTGTGAAACAACATGTTTCTGTTTAATTTTAAAGAACACCTGAGAGCTCCCACCCATGATCTTTTCACAAAAAGATTACATTACAATTCTTAACTTAATTTCCTTCTGTGTTATGCTCCAAATAAATAAAATTACTTGTTCGTTGTCCTTGTACCATGAAAGGGGCAGTTGAACTAACTTGTTTTACTTTTAGGAATCTTTGTTTATATCAACAAAAGAATCCACTCACAATAGAATTGTTAAATATTATATTAATTTAAGGATTTGCTAGACTAAACCAAAAAGTGTTAATACATTCTAAACAACTGTAAATGTATTTAGGAAAATAGATTAAAAATGATCTATTACAGCCAGTACAATTCACTGACATATCTGACGATGTTATATTGGTTAATATAGATTAAGGAACAGCGCACACATAAAAATACATTTCTAAGTTCTATAAGGCAACTTAAAATTACCTATTTCAGCAAACAAATATGGGCATTCAATTCCACTATATGGTCATATTGGGTTAAGCCCACTACTAAATCACACTCCCCCAATATCTGTGGACCCTACACTAATTCCAATGTGGGAGACAAATTAAATAGTGCTAGATGTTATAGTAGTTGGAAGGCTATGCTTACAATGTTCACGTTCCGTTCAATACACACTTCATTCATAGATAGCTTGTGAGAACAAAACGGATGGCAAATTTAATAAAAATAGTAGCAAGAGCCGCGCGCGCATTTAGTCAATTCTTTCTTATGGACGCTGGCGTCTTCTCACTGTGAAAATCACAGTGAGAAGCGCAGAAGCGCCTCTAGCGGCTGTCAATGAGACAGCCACTAGAGGCTGGATTAACGCATATGTAAACATAGCAGTTTCTCTGAAACTGCTATGTTTACAGCAGGCAGGGTTAACCCTAGATGGACCTGGCACCCAGACCACTTCATTGAGCTGAAGTGGTCTGGGTGCCTATAGTGGTCATTTAAACGTGAGACCCTTTTGAGGTTACCAGAGATAGTCAGATTGTAGGCAAAAATAGCAGAGCTGGAAAAATAGGAAAATAGCGAAATTAGGAGAATTTCCCAATTCTGATTTTTTTTAGCATACAATTTGAAAGTCCCTCATCAATTACTGACCATTCCCAGTTCAGTGTATAACCCTGATTAGGTTGTCCTTTCTTGGACACTGAGAATACTACAATATTAGTGCAATCAATGCAGAATGTATCCTCTAATTTTCTCTAATACATAATGCTCTGTGACATTTGATTTGCCAACTGATATTTATCACCATGGTACCCATATTACTGTATTTAAACAGGTTGCAAAGACTTATTGTGTATGAATTCCTATAGGTATGATGTAGACATTAAGGTTGGCCATACTAAGCTTGCTTAGCTAACTGTTCTGTTCTTCCACCAGGTAAAATCATTACAGTAGACATAGACGATGGAAAAAAATTGGATGAACCACAGGAAGATAATTTGGAGGTATCAGCAACGTTTGTGTCCTTGTTCATTCTAAGCCTGGCATATAGTGTTACTGTAACTCTGTTTAAGGTAAGATATATTGTCCTGCTTACAGTATTTTATTACTCAATATCTGATACCATACACATTTTTACAACACCAATAATGGCTTACCCCATACATCTGTATAGGTTAAGACCTTAAGTTAGGTCACATGCACTATAATGAGATATACTTTTGTGTGCACTAGCATGTTAGTTATACAGCTATTTAACAAGATGTCCTTTATATACTCTATATATGTGCACAATAGAAGATGCCTCTTATAAGATATATATGTTAAGTCCCTCTCATACAAACCTACTCTAGATCCCTCTTATACAAACATACACTAAACTTCTCTCACACAATGCACACATTAGATCTCTCTCATGCAATACATGCCAGAGATTCCTTTTATACAATACAAACTCTAGATCTCTCTTATATGTCCCCTATTCTAAACATTATTGTTATACTACATACCAAAGACATCATTTTATTCATGAAACAGACAGAGATCTGAGGTTTTCTTTCATAAAATGCTTCAGGCAATTTTACCATAGAAACTAAACGAACACTATAGACATTGAACTCAGCTTCTATTAAATCATTTTTTAAACAGCACTGTTCATTTTACAGCACACAGTAGGCTTTTACTATGCAATCTCTAGACTTATTCTGTAATAGTACAAACACTAGATTTTTTACTCAACATATACTATGACTATTGTCACAAATAATTTAAATAATGGAAATAACTTGAATTATCGTAAGTTAATAGTTTAACAAATTTGAGTTTCATTGAAATCAAAGAGATAATAACTGAGTCTGTTTTTGTTTTGTCTAGGTGAAATGAAATTGACCCCGTTCACCCATCATCCTTTGAACTTTCCGCAAGCAGTGATGATTTGTCTCAATCTAATTATACTAACTTTATATACTTGAATGATGGTTTAGTCAATGTGGTGTCTCATTTATGTTAATAAAATTAAATAAAACTCCAATGTTTGGGTATATGTATTTTTTTTCTAGTTATTCAATATTTTGTCTATCTAATTAATGTAATATGACAACTCAAGTCCATTTTGATTTTTCCAACCAATGACGGACATGACAGTTACATAATTCATTCTTTCAGGTATTTTGCACTAAGTTTGGAAGAAGAATCCTCCGCTTGGGCACTTCTGTACCACACGTACCACTAGCTGAAGTACATTTTCTCAATGTACTATTTAAATTGTATTAAAACTAGTGGATTTATCATATTATATTTTATATATATATTATATTCAAAACAAATAGTAAACACTATATACATTCAATCAAGAGAATTAATCATGGTTGTTCTAATGAGATTAAGGGGCTGATTATTGGAGCAAAGCTCCAAATGTCTTTGAATTCTAAATACATGTCTAATTGAATCTATGAAAGTGTGGCAAGATTGCATTTTCAAAATATTTTAGTTAATATACAATAAGGATTATATTGCCCATAAATAATATTATTACACAAAGTATAATGTTGTATAAAGCAAACAAAACTAGTAGACTGTTTTTGTAATAATGTGCAGATTAATTACACAATCAATATACTGAGAAAAATTTTTTTATAAATATCCTCATGCTAGCAATATGTTTGGGTTCCAATCCAGATGTCTGAAGAGATCACCTTTTAACCAGAACTATCAGCCTCTCATTCATTTAAGTTTACATAAATACTGGCCTGGAGGATATGTCCATACACATAACTTTGGTGTCTATTACCATGCAAAAGCAACAATATATGGTACTTTGGAGGAACCAAACTACCCCATGTAATTATGCAACAAAATATTTTAGAACATTTATCTGATGGGTTTATAAAACCAATTCTAATATTACCTTGGGATTGCACAGAAATAAACATATAGGGTACCGATTCTCCTTCCGTCTTGGTACTGCTAACAATCCGGGATTTAATTGTAATCCAAATTTGATTAATTGGGTATATCTGTAATAAGTATCAGTTTACAAGTTTAACTGTTGGGAGTTCTTAAGAACTGGCTAAGCAGTAGGTGCTATAACAGTACATTGCACCTAAATCACTTATACTTATTAATAATTGCCTAAACAATTCAAACAAAGCTCTGCCACAAAGGCTACATTATATATTTTCTAGAAAACAAACAGACAATGAGAATTTAATATAAATAAAAACATGGCACAACTACCGTACACTACTATACTATACAGTATTTTAATCCACTAACTCAAACAAATCTTGTGATAAAGCAGATTTACTTATGTTTAATCTTGATTTTTGAATCTTGATTTCTTCTTTTTTTCAGTATTATTAATTAGATCATTTTTGGTTTACTTTGCGTATCATAGCCATTACAGCTCACTGTAGTGGCTATGATATCATTCCCTGGTAAGGGGGCAAATTGTACTGTTAAACTGCATCTGGCTTCTGCATAGCTGCAACATTTCATTATGTTGGTTATTCATCGGCTGAGAGCATCCACTGATGAATTAAAATGAATTAACTAAATTAATTATACTCTGTGCAAGGACTAGGCACAGAATAGAAATTTGCTGGCTGGCTAACAACGCAGGAAAGGATGGAGCTACATCTCTGTCAGCTAGCCAAAATATCCCGATATGTGCAATGTTTCATATTAAACACTGCACTTACAGGATCCTTGCACCACAACCACTACACAATGTGATAACAATGCTCAGAGTAAACCTTTAACATTAAAGGATCACTACAGGGTCAGGTACACAAACATGTATTCCTGACCCTATAGTGCTAAACCCACCCCTTAGCCCCCCTATAAAAGTTTAAAACTCAACCGGGGCACTTTATCAACGAATAGCTACATAAAACAATGTAAGAGGTATCACAACTTAAGACTAACATGTAACTATTAACCAAGTTAATGTTTAATAGTTATTATGTATATGAAATTGTGATGTGACTTAAAAGCAGCAATGTTACATAATACTGAGAGGCACTCAGTATGTTTCAAATTTATTGTCAATTTCGTGATACTATACAAATTGTGTAATGTATACTGTATGTTGTGAAAGTGACGAGACAGTCACACATAAATAAAGTATTTTTAAAAAAAAAAAATGTTTAAAACTCATCTAATTTCCAGCACCGCGCTGGTCCACCAGCACTGGCCCCCTTTGTGACATCAAAATGGCCCATTTTAGCCAATCCAATGCTTTCCCATTTGGCCAATCAGGACCTCCTCGATCAATTGAATCAATGCATCTCTGTGAAGAAAATTCAGCTTCTCCATGCAGAGCGTGGGGACGCTAAACATCAGGGCTGCGTACTGTGCAGCCCTGAGCCAGGAAGCACATCCAGTTGTCATCTAAAGAGTGATCACTTGGAGGTGTCCTTAGGGGCAATGTAAACACTACCTTTTCTCTGAAAAGGCAGTGTTTACATAAAAATGCCTGAAGGGAGCTATTATACTCACCAGAACAACTATATTAAGCTATAGTTGTCCTGGTGACTATAGTGTCCCTTTAATAATAAGGTAATGATTCTTACAAAATGGATGATAACTACAGGGAGTGCAGAATTATTAGGCAAGTTGTATTTTTGAGGATTAATTTTATTATTGAACAACAACCATGTTCTCAATGAACCCAAAAAACTCATTAATATCAAAGCTGAATATTTTTGGAAGTAGTTTTTAGTTTGTTTTAGTTATAGCTATGTTAGGGGGATATCTGTGTGTGCAGGTGACTATTACTGTGCATAATTATTAGGCAACTTAACAAAAAACAAATACCCATTTCAATTATTTATTACCAGTGAAACCAATATAACATCTCAACATTCACAAATATACATTTCTGACATTCAAAAACAAAACAAAAACAAATCAGTGACCAATATAGCCACTTTTCTTTGCAAGGACACTCAAAAGCCTGCCATCCATGGATTCTGTCAGTGTTTTGATCTGTTCACCATCAACATTGCGTGCAGCAGCAACCACAGCCTCCCAGACACTGTTCAGAGAGGTGTACTGTTTTTCCTCCTTGTAAATCTCACATTTGATGATGGACCACAGGTTCTCAATGGGGTGCAGATCAGGTGAACAAGGAGGCCATGTCATTAGATTTTCTTCTTTTATACCCTTTCTTGCCAGCTACGCTGTGGAGTACTTGGACGCGTGTGATGGAGCATTGTCCTGCATGAAAATCATGTTTTTCTTGAAGGATGCAGACTTCTTCCTGTACCACTGCTTGAAGAAGGTGTCTTCCAGGAACTGGCAGTAGGACTGGGAGTTGAGCTTGACTCCATCCTCAACCCGAAAAGGCCCCACAAGCTCATCTTTGATGATACCAGCCCAAACCAGTACTCCACCTCCACCTTGCTGGCGTCTGAGTCGGACTGGAGCTCTCTGCCCTTTACCAATCCAGCCACGGGTCCATCCATCTGGCCCATCAAGACTCACTCTCATTTCATCAGTCCATAAAACCTTAAAAAAAACGGTCTTGAGATATTTCTTGGCCCAGTCTTGACGTTTCAGCTTGTGTGTCTTGTTCAGTGGTGGTCGTCTTTCAGCCTTTCTTACCTTGGCCATGTCTCTGAGTATTGCACACCTTGTGCTTTTGGGCACTCCAGTGATGTTGCAGCTCTGAAATATGGCCAAACTGGTGGCAAGTGGCATCGCGGCAGCTGCACGCTTGACTTTTCTCAGTTCATGGGCAGTTATTTTGCGCCTTGGTTTTTCCACACGCTTCTTGCGACCCTGTTGACTATTTTGAATGAAACGCTTGATTGTTCGATGATCACGCTTCAGAAGCTTTGCAATTTTAAGAGTGCTGCATCCCTCTGCAAGATATCTCACTATTTTTGACTTTTCTGAGCCTGTCAAGTCCTTCTTTGACCCATTTTGCCAAAGGAAAGGAAGTTGCCTAATAATTATGCACACCTGATATAGGGTGTTGATGTCATTAGACCACACCCCTTCTCATTACAGAGATGCACATCACCTAATATGCTTAATTGGTAGTAGGCTTTCGAGCCTATACAGCTTGGAGTAAGACAACATGCATAAAGAGGATGATGTGGTCAAAATACTCATTTGCCTAATAATTCTGCACTCCCTGTAGACATGTGCACAATTTCACAAATAGGGACAGGTAATTACCAATTGCTGTTAGTGAAAGCCATTCGCTAAGTAGAAGCCAAAAGCTGTGCTGTGAGAGCTGTAATCCATCAATTGGCTTGTGTCTTCCGACTGGTTTCCTACCCTGTTGCTGCTCATGACCTAACTACAAAATCTTAACACTAGGCTCTGTCCTGGTGTAAAGAGGTAATGACAGATAAATCCCTTTACATCATATTGGAAGATACATGTATTTTTCCAAGCCTGGCACTATGTTATACCAGCCAGTTGATACTTGCTTGTTGCCACTGGCCACGCAAGTCATACTCAGAAGTGTGTTTCGGTGCTTTACCAGCAGGTCACTAATGTGTGAGTGGTTGAGAGCTGTACTAGTAGCTGTTATTAGTGATAGACTACAAATATTATGCAAGAAGGTTGGACACGTGGTAGTAATTTGTTGCTGCTATAAGCTTGTGGCTGTTGTTAATTGTGGCACATATTTACTGATTATGCTGGGAATATGCCCTCAGTTAATCATACTTCCCAACAACTGGGAGAGGAAAATCAGGAAGAGTGTGCATGGCCCATCCACTGACAAGATCCTTAAACAGCCCTCAGCATTCAAGGCCATGCATTATGCGCTACTAAAAATGTTCACTGCATAGTCCTAACACCCATTTCACAGCTCAAGCGTATCTAATGATGCACTAATGCTGTGCTGCTTGCGGACAATTTCCTGGTTTCCCCAGATACAAACAACAGGGAACAGAAGCGGAACTGAACCACAAAAGTGGGAATGTCTCAGCAAAAGCAGGACAGTTAGGACACATGGTCAATTAATCATTTC